TTTCTCTCATTTTTTTCTTCAGAGACAGTGGTCCTCACTCTGTTGCTAGGCTCGTACACGTCGCAAGGATTAATGTTGCTTATGTGAATAGTTCATTCTTTTCTTGTGGAGTCACATTCTGTTTTATGGATGTTGTCACTCCATTTATCTGTTAATGGACATTTAGGCTGTTCCTGGTTTTGGATTATTACAAATAAAATGGCATAGTTGAAGTATACAATTTGACATCTGAAACTCTTGAAACTGAAAGTTTCTTCCTACACTTGCAACATATAAAATTACTTTTACAAGGACATAGTCTACCTTTTGTAATGGACATTTTGTATGTAGACACAAATGGAGAGGGATGTATTATGAAACTCTAGAATCCCTTCCCCAATCTTCCATCATTATACCATTTCATAGTCATTCTTGTTTCATCATCATAGAAATGATGTTTATTGCTCACCAATATTTCCTCCCACTGATGCGGGCTGACTTTCCAAAGGCATGGTGGAGTCACTATAGGGTTATGTTTAAAGGAAAACCTTATGTTTTCCTTTAAAAAGTAGATCCAGACTTATAAGTCATTTTTAACTTCTATTGAAACATAATTGGCTTGCTATAAACTACACATATTTAAGGTGTATAGTTGAGTTGATTATCAGCCCGGGTGATATAGCAAGACCTTCATCTCTATAAAAAAATTTAAGAATATTAGCTCCCCTTGGTGGAGCTTGCCCTTAGTCCCAGCTTCAGAGACTTGGATGGAGAATCCCTTGAGCCCAGGAGTTCAACACTGTAGTGAGCTATGATCACAGCCTTGCACTACAGCCTAGGCAACAGAGTGAGACACTGTCTCTTAAAAAAAAAACAGAAAAGTGTACAATTTAGGTACTTTCCATGTACCGATAAACTCATGAAACTGTCACAATCATGCTAATGAACACATCCAAATATCCATTACTCCTGTACACCTTTCTAAAAATCGTTCCCTGCTCTCATTTGCCCTCCAGACAACCCTTGATTTACCTTTTTTCAAAATAAATTAGTTAATATTTTCTAGAATTTTATATTATTTTAATTGCAAAGTGTTTTTTATTATTCTTGTTTTCTTCATGCGGCATAATTATTTTAATATTCATTAATGTTGCTTATGTGAATAGTTCATTCTTTTCTTGTGGAGTCACATTCTGTTTTATGGATGTTGTCACTCCATTTATCTGTTAATGGACATTTAGGCTGTTCCTGGTTTTGGATTATTACAAATAAAATGGCATAGTTGAAGTATACAATTTGACATCTGAAACTCTTGAAACTGAAAGTTTCTTCCTACACTTGCAACATATAAAATTACTTTTACAAGGACATAGTCTACCTTTTGTAATGGACATTTTGTATGTAGACACAAATGGAGAGGGATGTATTATGAAACTCTAGAATCCCTTCCCCAATCTTCCATCATTATACCATTTCATAGTCATTCTTGTTTCATCATCCTCTGCCACATTGCTAGGTGATTTTACTTACAATTCCAGACATCATGTCATTTAATGCGTAATTTTTTCAGGATGCACTTCTATAATGTAAGTGTTCTTCCATAGCTCTAATAACTCTCATACAAAATAAAAATATTTTAAAATATTAAAAATGGATAAGCAAATGATTTGATAACCAAATAAAAATACTATAAGTGAGCACTAAGTATATGAAAAATATTCAACCTTACTAACAATAAAGATACACGCATTTAAATAAAAACAACTATTTAATTTTTTTCTTACCCACATTTGGCAAAGATGTAAGTGAGTGACAGTATTTGATAGTTAGAAGGGATATGGTCACCTTCAAATTAATTGGTGGGAGTATACATTGGAATCTCGTTTCTGCTTTTTTCTTTTTGATTTTGGAGTCAGGGTCTCACTCTGTTGCCCTGGCTGGAGTGCAGAGGTGTGATCACAGCTCACTGCAGCCGCGAACTCCTGGGCTCAAGCAGATATCCTGTCTCAGCTCCCCAAGTAGCTGGAACTAGAGGTGCACAGTAACATACCCAGTTAATTTTTAAATTTATTTTGTAGAGACAGAGTCTCACTATGTTGCCCATGCCTGGTCTCTAACTCTAAGCCTCAGGACCATCCTCTCACCTCAGCTTCCCAAAGCACTGAGATTACAAGCATGAGCCAGTGCATCCAGTGATTATCACATCTTTGGAAGGTAATTTGGCATATCCTCATAACTCAGAAATTTTACTTTTAAGAATTTAACCTAAGGACATAACTAGAAAACTTCAAAAAAGTGTAACAAATGCAAATAATCTACATGTCCAAAAACAGATATTGATAAATTAACTTATGAAATTTTGGCATATTGGAATAGATATGGAATACAGTTTTGTCATTTAAAATAATACTATTAATAGGATAACAAATACATTTTAATTTATGTGCTAAATTTTATAATAATAATAACTTCACTTGTCATGGACAGAAATAATAAAATTAGCAAAATATGTATGGTTTATTATGGATCACAATAATTATTATATAAATACAACTAAGATCAACTTATTTATATATTTAAATGTGAGCCTTTTTTTTCATATGGTTAGCAAAGTCATGAATATTTTGGCAATATTCTGTGAATCCCAATAAACATTTAATCATTTATGTTTGCTGTGTAGACTACATGATTATATTGTTTTCTATTTTTTAATCGACACATGGATACAATTTGATGTTTTGATACATGTAGATGTTGTATAATAATCAAATTAGGGTAGTTAGCATATTCATCACCTCATGCATTTTTCATTTCTTTGTAGTGAGAACATTCCAAAACCTCTCTTCAAGGTATTTTATAATATACAATACCTTACTGTTAACTATCTTCACCCTATTATGCAAAAGCACACCAGAACCTTTTCTATCTTCTTGTAACTCTGTACCTGTTGACCAACTTCTCCCCATCCTCTCCAGTCTCTCATTTTCTCCCCAGTGTTGGTAACCACTGCTCTACTCTCTACTTCTATAAGATCAACTTTTTGTTTGTTTATATTCCATTTCAAAATGTTAACTTTAAAAAGCAAGTTATTCCACCAGATAGTTTCTTCATATGGCTTACTCAAATCTAGAATTGTTTTGTCTACTTGACTTTAAAGTCTGGAAATTATATCAAAAAAGAGGTTAGTTTAGCATGAGAAATTCTTATTGAACCCATGCTGGCTCCTAGTGGCAACCATCTTGCCTTACTAAGAGCTCAAAAATAATTGGTTCAATATTTAAGCATAGAATTGTGCTGCAGATGGATAGCAACGTCACCTCAGTACAATTTCTGGAATTTATATATGATAACCTCTTCCCTAGCCCCACTCCCCCTAACCATCTTGACCTGTCTTTTGAAAACATAGCCATTTGTAAATTTCTGGTCTCTGGTACCCATCACATTCTCCTCCAAGTTTGTTCACAGCAGCTCTTTAATCACAAAAGAAAATGCTTAGACACTGAAGAATGTCATTTGTTGGGATTAATAATTATTACTCATTCTAAAAGTATCCAGATTATCTGTTTCATTCTTCTGAACCCCTTGTGATTTCAGACCACTCTTGCTTTGTTCTTTCTAGTTCAAATAGTGTTCTCCTGGATAAAGAAGATTATAAACAAAATAGCACTGAGAAGCAGAGGGTTCATCTGATTAGGTCTGCCAAGTTTAGCATGCCCTGCTTGCTTTTGGTGGTTACCTGCTTTTTTTCTTCATTTTCTTTTTCTTTTTTTTTTCATGAAACTGAAGGCCACAGTAAGTGAAGGCTGCACCACTAAACACTGAAACTTAACCTTCATTAGTTGCATAATAAATTGAACATTTATAAATCGCCATGGTAATGGTCACTTCAGTTATTTTTTAGGAATGTGGGGCAGCTCCTGACCAGTTCAAACTGGTTGACTCTTCAGCTGGGCCTGTGTAAATGCCGGAGAGCATTTTGACGTCAGAGGACCAAAAATTCCACCCTCAGATCATAATACCATCATTTTCTGCAAATATGTCCTATGAAATGCCATAAATCCCAACTATGTTTGCATAGATCAGTGATTGCTTCCTTTTTCCCCCACTTGTATAACCCATAAATATCCCTAAGCCTTATCTTCAGGGAGGTGGAGTTGAGACCTGTTCTTCCACCTCCTCACTGGCTACCTCATGAATAGTCCTTCTCTTTTTCAAAACCCATGATCTCAGTGATTGACTTGCTGCAATAGGGCAGAAAGAACCTGGTTGATGGTCATTGTAGAAGCTGTAGATACTCGATTATTCACTCTCATCTGTTGCATCAGCTATTCTGTCTCCTCTCCACCTTCATGTAGACATAGATATAGATATCTTGTTTAACATATTTTAAAGAGCATTTTTATTACCCTCCCCATGACGTAGAAATATCAGTTCATGGAAGCCTTCACCTTCATAAACTCTTCTTCAAATCTTAAGCATTTCTTTTCATTCTTCTACCAATCTCCAGGTAGCTGGGTCTTTCTTATTCCCTTCTCAACTCCAGTGTTGCTTCCTTAGAAGCCTCCTTTCACAGCTCATCTCATGGAATCCTTTCTTCTCCCCCATTCATATCACTCTACCCCAATCATGTGTTGTTAGTTTTCTTTCACTTACCACTACCTGCAATAATTACTTTTTCTACCTCCTTCAACTGGAAAGTGAGCACGATGAAGATGAAAATAGTACTGTTCCCTTAGGGCCTGTTACTGACCCAGTCACATACTAGATATTAAATAGTTATCTGTTGAACACAGCGCTGATATTCCAAGCATTAACTGGGTACATCACAGGCAATAAATAATCAGAAGAGATGCCAGCTGTCAACAATAGGAGCTGCCCTACTGGTGTGGGTAGACTGCATAGTAGCCTTAGTCAAATAATAAGTAAATTTAAGCATATCTCATCTACCACCTGACCAGGCATTATTCCTGTTTTCCCTGTTTGCTTCTTTAGAACATCCTTCAAATTCCTGTTTATAATATTGAACATTTTATTTGGGAAGTAGAACTTTATTGTAAGTCTCACAAATATTTTCATAGATATTTATATTGATCTGTAGTCATGATATAGCTCTCCTACTTTCTGTGAACTTTCCATAATCTCAGGTTGGAAAGGCTAATAATAATCCCAGCATTTCCCTCTTTATTCAATAGGCATACTGAGATGTCAAAATTATTTTACAAATCAGTTCTTCTTTTTGGATTAAAATTCAACACAGAGTCATACCTTTGTTGCCTCATCTATCTTCAGACACTCAAAATGGACAATGTAAATCAGATATTTTTCACATGTTTTGTTCTTTCAGTAGAAAATAGAAAAAATATACCACCCTTATCAGATAAAGCTTTCACTCTGTGCCACATGTCACTCACTCGCTCTACTCACATTCACCAGGTAATAAATTGTTTAAAGTCAGGACTTATTTCTTCTTATGTTTCTTTTAATTCCTGCCACCCAGCACCGGACCTTGACTATAAGTGGGATCATTACGTTTAAGTTGAACTAATTTGAGACTGATTTATCCAAGCTAGACTTTTATAAGTACTACAGATAAATAATAATTTCACATTTCTCTTGATCCTTTTGTGTTGACCCACTTTCTCCTTTAGATTTTTGTCTTTCATTTGTGCATATGCTTTCAACTTCCTTGTGCCCACATTCAGATACGTTTATTTAATATAATGGATAGACTTACCCTGCCATATTCCAGTTCTGACTGCCATCTCACTAACTCATTAAACATAATGTTGAGATCATGTTTATCTACTTATGGTTCGATCTACATTTCATTTTACTCGTCACTGACACTCATATTGTGTAATCAGTTTTCTTTTGCTTTCATTTAAGAGTTACAAGAAAACCCTTCCAAAGTATCTGGGTTTAAATTTTATCTAGTTATTTCCCCATTCCTCTAAACATTTTGCTGAAGTCAAGTCTCTCAAAATGAGTCCTATTTTTGCAGGAACTCACTGAGATCAACTAAGATTTGATGATCTTTCTAATACTGTGCTATAAACTTCACATACATCTTAACATTTAACCGTCATGAGAACATTCTATAAAAAAAATTATTGCTTATTCTTAAGTTGTATACAACTGATTTGAAAAAGATTAAGAAATTCACTGCTGGTTACAAGTGGTAAGCTGATATCCATGTTTCCTGCTTTATTTAGGAAGAGCTTTCCTTCCCATTCTTCATTTTAAAACTCAGTGCAGAAAGCCTTGTTACTTAGCACCACCTAAACATATAGTTACATTAAATCCAAGATCTTATTCCTAGTATAAAAATTATAAAATTTGCTTAAATATTGCAAATATTTCTTCTAGAAATATTATTCATTCCACCACAAATCAGAAAATGATAGCAATGGATAATGAGCCTGAGAAAATTTGGCAGATTCTCAAATGTATAGCAGAATAATACTGTGACAAGGCATAGGGTGGCATCATGTTGGTCAGATCTGACATATACTTACAGAATGAAGTTGGAACAATTTACCAAATGTCTGTAAGCTTCAGTTTCTTCTTCCATAGATTAGAAGAAATAACCTCATTGCAACATTTTAGGAAATAAATGAGATAATGCATATAAACCTCTAGGTATAATGCCTGTTGCAGAGTAAGCCTTTAAAAAATACTAACTATCATCATCGTCATCATCACCATTATCATTATTTTGAAGACTCTAGACTAATAATATACATCTGTTTAATTATATCAAGCCACAGTAACCCTGAACATCATAATACACACCTCTTCCTAGACTAATGTGAGATTTCTGGGTAACTTTCAGTACCTATAAATCTTGTTATTTTTCTCTTCACAAAGACAGCTATGTTCAGTACAAAATGTACTCCCTGGGAATACTTGATCTAGCCCCTAAGTATAACCCAATCAATAACAACTGTGTGACATAGGAGAGACACTTAATTGTTTTAATCTACTTATCTATAAAATAAAGGGATCGAAACAGACCACAAAAAGCAAAGTCTTTATCCAAACTAAAGTTCTGAGATTTCTTCTTGTGCAGCTCTGTCTTGTGGTAAATAATCAACATCTATGGTAGCAAAGAATAAATTATTCTCTAGTTCTAGTTCGCTAAGTTGATGTCTAGCTCTCTGAGAATATTACACCATTTTAACTTCAAAAATAACAAGACACAGCAGCTCTACTGT